AGGTGCAACGATTGATCAATGATGGAATGGTAAGTTTTGATCAAGGAAAAGTAACAACACCTAATGTTAACGTTCTGAGTGAAAATCAAGAACAAAAAAGGTCCGGAGAGTCACAATGACTTGAAGGACAAGATGTCAATAGAGATTCTTCACCTGATCGCATAGGGGGACAATTTTAAAGAATGGAGATAAGGCTGGTTGAAGGTTTCTTTTGTCATGTTAGGATTTCTTTTCGAGTGATTGTTGGATTTCTTTTTGCAATATGATTTCACTTGTTATCATCTTAATAAGGGCAAGTCAATGCATTTCATTACATTTTTCTCTTTCACTTGACCATTACTCCATGCTCTGTTACTTTTCATAACTTTATACTCTCATTCTCAAATTTCAGATGATGAATATTTAGACAATGATAACAATAATTTTGAAATTTAATTTTGAGAACTCATCCACATTAATATGAGGAGATGATTTGAGCAAAAAAAAAAAGTAAAAAAAAGTAAACCATTACTAGAGGTGAAAGAGATATGTCTTGAGAATATCTTTTATACAGGATATTGAACTTTGTTCAATAGATGATGTTCAAGAAAAGTATTCACAATTGAGATGAAAAATGATCATCTTTCTTTTATCATTCGAAAAACTATTCATTATTACCCCTTTGAGCCTATCATGATTTTTTTTTCTTGAAAAATGCCCAACCAAGGATCACCCTCTACACTGAGGGTAATTTTGAAAAAAAAAAGGAAAAAAAAAGACCACAAAAGGTATCAAATATGGAAAGAGGAAGAAGTAAAAGAAAAATAAATGCCACACATGATTTGGGACAAAGTAATGAGAATCCTTTGTGTGAGGAAAAAAAAACAGTGAAATGATGAGGGACAAAATGCCAAGTTGTATCAAATGATCCTTTGGTTTTGAACTTTTTTAATACATGTTTTGAGCCTATTATATCCATTTTTTTATAACCCTTCACCTTGGCCTACATTACAACCTTGAAAAATCCATTTGGATCAAGTGTGAATACTCAACTTGAATGATCATATGTTGAGCGAAGGTATACTCATGATGAAGCAATAGAATCATGCTATATTGCTCTAAAGTTGGATGTATGAAAGATATCAACAATGGATGAAAAACGAGCAAAAAGAAAAAAGATGATAAAAAAAAAGAAAAAATGAGAAAATGAAAAAAAGAGATTCAAATTGAAAACCTGAAATGGTGATTTTGGTAGAAAAAAAAAAGATCCAGGTAAAATGGCTTACATGAATGAAAGATCAAAGACATCTGAAGATCCCTCAAAGATTGGAGCAAAGTTTGCCAAACTCCATATGACTTCAATTGTAAATGGAATGAGTTTTTGAAAAAGAATCCTAGATTAATGTTGAGAATTGTTTGAATATTCATCATTTGGACATACCATCCATCCCAATGACATGTATCCAATTCATTTCCTTTCCCATTTACTTTGTACCAAAACAGATCTTCATTGATTATTTTTACCATAATTCACTTTGCGTTCTCTTATTGTTTCACCCCTAGAATGAATTGAAAAAATGCTTGATTGCATTGTATTTGTCAAGAATTGAAATGATAATGAATGAATAAATATGTGCTTAAAAGAGTCTTGCATTCATTTGAAAAGAAATCTAAAATGATGGTGGTAACAAAACGAAGAAATGGTAGAAACCTAAAAGAGATGATTTGGAAGGATATATGATATGGCCAAATGGAGAATATAATGGGATAAATCTTGAAAAGTGATGAGTACAAGGACGAATTGGTCAATATAACTTGCAAGTTATGATTGAATGATGAAAACAATCAGTGGATAAAATTTGTTTTGGAATGGTCAATGCTGATACACCCATGAGTAATGACCCAATGATGGTGGATGAAACTTGTTTTGAAATTTGTTAGTGCTGAGAAATTCATTGAATGATGGTCAAGTGATGATCGATTGATGAAATTTATTCCAAAGTATTGAGAAACTGAACAAGGAAGAATGTGAGTGAAAAAGACAATTGAGAGCTACACTGGTTCGATCTTAGAAGAGCAGTGTAATCGGATCTCTGAAGAATCAAAGGGCTTGATGCCTAAGGAAAAAGCTTAAGAAACTTGAGTACCATACATTGAATAGGAATTAATTAGCCAACATATGCATAGCATGCATTGAAATTCATATTCATTGCATACCATGCACTACTCTTAGGAAAGTATAGTGTATAAATTCAAGAAGCAGGGATGTTTCAACATCCCACATAGAGAAAACATATATAAAGATATTTTACAAATTTGAGAAGAAACTTGTCAGGTAAGTTCCTAATCCTTGAAATAGGATATCTTTTGGTATCAGGGTTGATTTATAAGACCTTTGGGCATAATCTCCTGAAATTCCTTCAAACACAACTTTCAACTCCTTTGGACATGATTGTCAAAGGACAATTTACTTTCCAAAGTCGTGGTGCCTTTATTTAGAGAAGCAATTTATTTTTTCAAAATCGTGGTGCCTCTGTTTAGAGGAGCAATTTATTTTTCAAAGTCGTGGTCCCTCTGTTTAGAGAAGCAATTTACTTTTCAAAAGTCGTTGTGTCTCTGTTTAGAGGAACAATTTACTTTTCAAAGTCGTAGTGCCTCTGTTTAGAGGAGCAATTTATTTTTTTCAAAGTTGTTGAGCCTCTGATTAGAGGAGCCATTTATGTTTCTCAAAGTCATTGAGCCTCTGCTTAGAGGAGCTTTGGTCAAAAAAACAAAAAACCAAAGAAAATAAAAAAAATAAAAAAAAAAACAAAAAAATGAAAATGTTGAATTGAGTCTTGATTGGGTGTTTACGTCTTTACGCAATTTTTGTTTCACAAAAAATGTGCAAAGAGGGACAGCTGTAGACACCCAATTTGGTCCAGGCCCCGATCAATTGGGTCTAGCCCAAATAGGTAGGTATATGTTTTATTTATTTATTCTATTATTTTTATTCTATTTCTATTTTATTTTTATTTTTATTTTATATATATATATATTTTTTCCTTCTTTTATTTTTTATTTTAACTATTTACTTATTTATTAATATGTATATATCTTTATTATTATTTTTTTGTTAATATTTTTGTATATCAGATTATGTATTTAATTTTAATTATCTGTTAATTTTTTTGATTTATCTGATTTATTTTCTTTTGATTTTTTTTATTATTATTATTTTTTTTATTTATCTGGCTGGAGATTGGATTGAGATTCAATAAGAAGAGTCCAAATTGGATTCAAAGATTGAATCCCCATCTAAAGAGGAATTGGGATTGATCAGAAACTCCTGATCAATCCCTATAAAAGAGACCTCCTGAAACAAAATGAAGAACACAGAAAAACCAATGAACAAAAGCTACTGATTTGAGAGAAAAGAGGCGTATAGAAGAGTTTTTGAAGGCTAAAAGAAGGTTGAGAAGTGTTAAAATAGCTGTTGGAATCGAAAATAATTTTTTAGAGATTTTTGGCGAAAATTTTTCTGGAAATTTTTGAAAAATTTCCAGATTCCGATCATTTTTTCGACGAAGATTGAATTTTCCAGCATTAATTTCGGTCAAATTAGAAGTTTCCGACGAAGAATCCCAGAAATCGACCAACTTCCGATGAACTTTCGACGAAAAAACCCAGATTTCGATGAAAATTTTCAAAATCCGGTGAATCTTCAACCAGAGTTCTTCGGCTTTTTAGAGAGAAAAGAGAGAAAAAAGAAGGAAGAGAGAGAGAAAGAAAAAGATTTCTGTCGAAAAACGAAGGGAACTGCCTTTTATACTCTCCCAAAACGAAGTCGTTTTTGCCTTAAGTAACCCAGAGGATCCGTGCGTTTTGCCGAAATTCGACCCGACCCGAGCGTCAACCAACTTCCTGACCCGCGCGTGTCTGCCCCCTTCCGAGCCGAACCGAGCTCCAAAGTCACTTTTTCGAGCCGTTTTCTCTTCTTTGAGCCAAGTCGAGCCGAGCCGTATACCGAGCCGCTCCAGGTTTTTTTTTTTGAATTTATTTATTTATTTGTTTATTTATTTATTTTTTATTTATTAGAGTGGGTTTATTTAATATTCTTTTTATCTTTATTTTATTTTTATTTTTGTTTTACTTTTCTTTATTTTTTATTTTTATTTATTTTCACTTTTATTTTGTTTCATTATTCTATTTTCTTTAAATAAAAATAAAAAAAATATTTTTGAGAAAAAGTTGAAAGTATCAATTTTTCTTAAAAATAAAATTTCAAGAAAAAAAAGAGTTTTTGAGGAAAAATTGAAAGTATCAATTTTTCTTGAAAATCAAAGTTTTCAAAAAATATTTTTGAAAAAAAGTTGAAAGTATCAATTTTCCTTAAAAATAAATTTTTAAAAAAATATTTTTGAAAAAAAGTTGAAAGTATCAATTTTTCTTAAAAAATAAATTTCCAAAAAAAATATTTTTGGGGAAAAGTTGAAAGTATCAATTTTCCTTAAAAAGAAATTTTCAAAAAAATATTTTTAGAGAAAAGTTGAAAGTATCAATTTTTCTTGAAAATAAAAGTTTCAAAAAATATTTTTGGGGAAAAAGTTGAAAGTATCAATTTTTTCTGCACAAGAACAATCATCCTTTCCTTCTTTTTTATTTTGAGTTTCATTTTTATTTTTCCTTAAATAATCCGACGACGAAACTTCTGCAAGTGAAACAGTAGTTTTTCTTGCATACTCTTGAGGTGAGGGAATTTTTTCAATTTTCTGCTAAAAGTATTAGAGTCAATTGAGAATAATTTCCAATAATTAATTACTTGATAAAATTTTAAGGCTATTTGGATAACACAAAGTTATGCTGGTACCATCTTTTGATGGGCGTTGTGAGGGTGCTATAACCTTCCTCACACGTAATCGAACCCCCGAACTCTGTTCTGGTTAGTAGACCTGAACCTATTCTTTTAGGGGCCCTTAAACTTAGGTATTCTCTGAAAGGACAGATTCTTTAGGTGGCTAATCGCACCTAGATAAAAAAGATTGGTGGCGACTCCTAAAAGTCAATGTCTAGCGATAGATCCCCGGATCTAGACGTTATGACACTCCAGAGAACCCGATTGACTCCAATTGCTTTAGGAAGTAATCCATTCGGCGAAAACGATTAGTTCCACATACTCCAGCAAGAACTGGTACTAACTTTACCACCTATGAATATTTGCAGCTATGAGTAAGAGGGAAATCATCCAAAGATGATGCTGAAATTAGTGAGAAATTTTATTGGGAAAGTTTTCAAAATCAAATAATTGCAAAGAAGAACATAGGGTATTTCTATGCTGTATATTGACAGTTAATGCATGAACAATAGTACAATGATTTAAGGGCCTGTTCAAAATGCAAATAATAGCATTCATTGTTGTGGGAATGATAATGAAAAACAAGAGATACTTTCTATAGAAATATGGACAAATGAAAATTTAACTCCTAAAGAAGCACTTCATGAAGCAAAAAAGGCAACGAGGAGTCAACAAGGACAGTATCGAAATAAAAATAAAAAAAGTCTAGTCATTTGCCTTTTTCAACTACAGAAATAAATTTTGAAACAAATGCTAATGAGTGATCACAAAGAAAAGATTTGCACTAGTGTAGATGCTAAGTGATGAGACAAGCAAGCATTTCAAAACTTACTGGCAGTACTTCATTTGCCATCTCTAGACTATAGCATTTGCATCAGCAAAGGGTAATAAGCATGCCAAAGAACCGCTTCCTGCCATACAAAAACGTCCTGAATTGTACAAAACTAGCAAATCAACACCACCAGCCTCCTCAAATTTTGCTGATATTCCAGTCCCTGCACCAGCTCCAACTATGGGCAGTCCTTTAGATATTTGATCTCCGAGTTGCTGCAATATTCCTTGAGTTCTTTGTAAAGTTTCTGTCACAAAATTGTTACCAATTAGCTTTCTTCCACATTGTCACAAAGAAACATATATATATATATATATATATTAAGTAGCTAGATTTTATATATATATATATATATATATATAAAATCTAGCTACTTAATAAAAAGGCATTAACAGTAGTCAGTTGGAACTCAAGAAATCTTGGAACTCATAAGCTGTTATAAAGGTTGAAATGCATGCAAGGGTATAAAAGCCAATGCATTTGCAGAACATGCTGCAAATGAATTTGTTTGGTGCTGTTACTATGTTTATAAATACAATATTTATGAACAATACTTTCTACGAAAGACAAGGCTCCCTCGTGAATAACCCAAACTGGTCTTGCATCAGGGAAGTTGCTTGGGCTATAGGTAAGGGTCCCAGAGTTCGATGAGTTCACATTGTAGTCATGACCCTTTTGAAGGTCCTGACTGGACTCAGACGAAGCAACCTGAGGAAGACTACAATCTGTAGGATTCTTCAAACAGATCTCCAAAAATGAGTCAACCAATGCATCCGCAAACTCAGGGTCATTGATATGGTAAGGATACATCTTTACCTATCAGTACATATAATTTTCAACTTCATGAGAAAAATTGTAATGCAACATTCCTGATATGATGAACACTAAACTAAACCCAAACAAACAGAGAAAGTATCACATTTAGGTTCACACCATTTAATAAGCAATACTGGTACCTGTCGGTCTTCATTTATCTGAACAAGTCTCTTCAGTTCATTTAAGAGAGTACCAGTAGCCTCAGGATCATAGAAGGGCTGCCCTGATGCATCTAATGCAGAAACACCCTTTTGTGGAAGGCAAACACAGATCTTTGATGAAGACTTGTTCAGTTTATCAGCTATAAAGCCAGAAAATTTTTTATTCTCATCTACTGTGGTTCGCATGAGCGATACCTTCAATCACCCACATTGATACATAGAAGGCACATTAGACAACAGCAAACATGGTAAAAATCCAGAATAATTGGCCATTTGACATATCTCTCCAAAATTTTCAGAGTGGGACCAAGAGAAGATGGATCTGATACGTTATTTTGGTAAAAAGTATAAACAAAACCCATTTAACCATCTAATTCCAAATATAAAAGGACGATATAATGATATAATGATTTCTCTACCATATGGACATTACAACTTCAAAAGGCAAGGGAGAAAAACCAATGCTATATGGACTTATCACCTGGGCATTGTGGACATGAATCTTTCTTTACTGAAAATTAGAAGGTATGGTATCTTTAGGTCCAAAGTTCACCATATCTAAGGCTCCAACATTGAGGACCAAAGGGATCTTCTTCTCTGTAATAATATCAAAACGGGAACTGTCACAAGCCATCACACCTCCAACTACATAATCTGCAACCTCTGTAGTTGTAATGTCCAAAACTCCCTGAGCAACACAAAAAGGAAAAAGCTGAACTTCAAGAATTGTATAATAAATAACAAGAAAACTACCATTGTGCAGAACAAATCGTTAAAACCTTCAATGGTTATGAAATCAAATACTTTTCAGCAACACAGCTTGACTAAGCATAAGCATCTATCTTCAATGCTAACATGGGGTGTCAGACTATGGCAACTTCCAAAAACCCCAGCATTTTAGAGTCAAGGCTTTGCACATTTCATTAACTTCAAACATAAATAGTTTTACCACAGTCAAGAATCTATTTTGCTTGTAGCAAAGTCATACACAAAAAAAAAAAAAGAAAAGCTGTAAATTGATAACAAGAAGAAATTTTCTTACAGAAAGACATACCACCCAAAAAATGCATGAACTTCATCCACCATAAGTAAAAGAATTCACATTGAAATGAAGATTTTTGGAAGCAAATAAATGAAGGAGAGAGATACCTGTATATATCCCTCTCTAACCAATGATTCCAAAGCCTTGCCTCCCACCCCAATGGCATGGAAAATGAGGGTTTCAAAACCTTGCTTCTGCAATCCTTCTTTCACAGCATGAACACATGGAGTTGTGACCCCAAACATAGTTATACCCACCGTGCTCTTTTTACCTTTGCTACAAGAGTCTTGGAACTTTTCAAGCCTTCCAATCACCATTCCAGCCAAAGCAGCTCCGGTATTTGATAACACAACTCTACTAACACTATCAATCCCACAGATATCCACAACAGATGGAAACAAAATCAAATCCGATGTTCCAACATAAGGTTCTGTTTGACCACTAGCTACAGTCGATATAATGAGTTTTGGCACACCAATAGGAAGAGATATGAAAGCAGATGATAGCAAAGATGTGCCTCCAGTGCCTCCAAGGCCAATAGCTCCAGCAACAACACCATCAGCCTGAGCTTTCTTTATAAAATATTCAAGCGCTTTACTCATAACACCAACAGCTTTATCTCTATCATCTGGAACCACAATTGGGTTTTCTCCAATTGATTCAGAATAGCATAAAAGAAGTTCCTTGTAACAAATTTGAAATCACTCAAACTCTCAGTTTCCTTTTGACCGGCAGAAACATCAACTATCACAACTTCTACCTGTCATTTCCATTAGTAAAAAAGGAAATCCATTTTCATATTTTTGCCATCAAAACAGAAAATTAAAAAAAAAAAAAAGAAAACACCTGCATTAACAACATTGTTAAACTATGATTAAAACCAAAGAAAATGTTAAAAGAACGTATTTACCAACTTTCATATCATTGTAAAATCAAATAAAAAACTATCAATTCTGAAACCAATGAAAATTGGAATAAGTAGAATGTACCTTGGAGGAAGAGCTGTAAAAGAAGGTGGTGAGAGAGGATCGAACTGATTCAGCTAGGAATTGGAGCTCGTCAAGCTTAGTATCAGCCGTTCCAACACACAAAACTTTAGCAGTACTGCCCTTTTTCGCCTTGCCCAGACTCAGTTAACCCGTAACCAAGTTGGGAACGAGTTAGAATTTCTGCTACAAAGCAATCTCTCTCTTTTGGTGCTTACAAAGAAATCTCTTTGATTTCAAATTACAAAGAAGTCTCAGTATCAAAACCATATGTGTTGCAGACCAGACTGTATCACGCTTTCACAACATCCTTAAAATTTTAAATTTATAGGTCAAATTGCCATTCAGACGTCTGGGTTTGGTTCCGTTGAGTCTAACCTTATTTGCAAATTCGGGGCGGATCCAGTTTCAAGGAAATATATATATATATATATATTGTAAAATAATTGCTTCTATTTAATTTTAAAATAATTTAAAAATAATTTAAATATTATTATAAAATATTAAAAATTCTAATGATAAATTTAAAATTTTTGGAATTAAGTTAAAAGATTGAATCGAGTTTTAAGTCAACTTCTATATATGGTAATCGGGTTTAACCCGCTTCATAGATTAGTCTACTCGTAACATGAAAATCGTTTATATTTTGGCTTCATTTAATAAAAAGGTGTGGAAATTTCCTTTAATGAATTCAACTACAACTTTATTATTTATTCCTTTTGTTTCTTGGCATTAAGTAATTTCATTTTTCCCTTTAACACAGCACAGCACTTTTTTTAATGATTATTTTGATTAAAATAATGGGGAGAGCTGGGGAATGGGTTTTAAAATATGATTATTGTTGTGATTGTTACATTGCATTAAACACAAACACCAAAACCACATGATTCCTGTCCATGTACTATCACTTTTTTTAATGATTCTTTTGAATAAAATAATGGAGAGAGTTCGGGACAGGGTTTTAAAATACGATTATTGTTGTGATTGGCACATTAAATTAAACACTAACACCAAAGCCACATGATTCTTGTCCATGTTAAGAAATACCAATTGCCTGCTGCCAATCATTACATGATAGAGCATGCTGTATTGGGTTCCACACAGCGGTCCATGTAGAAGGACATTTGTTGACAAGCAGGACAGGTTTCAGGATTGTGGATATCAGACTTGGGGTCGGCCTTCTTATCATCTTTCTTGGGTTCACTCTTCTTCTCGTCAGGCTTCTTTCGGGGCTCCTGTTTTGGAGGTGCTGGAGGAGGCCCAACACTCACCGGTTCAACAAATTTTCCTGCTTTTCTCGTCCGAACTATAATTTCATATTGGTCAGCATCGCCTGTTACTGATATTGTTCCCTTGGCAGCATCAACCTCAATCTTATCTATACCTGCAGATGATTGGAATTAAAGGTGACAAATCTTTTTATCAAGTTCTAATCTTTTTGGACTCTGAGTGGTTATGTTAGATTCAAGTTTTTTATTTTTCGGGTTTGGGTTCACTTTTGCCACTCGATAGAGAATCAATAAATACAGTTGATTAATTTGTTGTGAAAGGGAAGGAAAGCCAAGAGGAATATGGCAGTCTGTTTACCTTGAAGTCCAGAGATTGCCTTAAGAAGCTTTTTCTTGCATTTATGGCATGATATATCAACCTTCAAGACAGTCTTCTTAACCATGGAAAAAAGCTTCTCGATCTATATCTAAAATCTAAATCAGAAACAACTTTTTGGTCACTATTGTAGCAGCATTATCTTATTTAAGAGGAACCCAAGGAGGAAGATCGGCATATCAGATTCTTGAATTGTTCACCCATCCCTTGAAAGGCTTGTCCTATTGCCTGTTTCGTCTTGAACCCTCTAATTATGTATATTAAAACAACTTTCAGAGTCTTGGTTCTTATTTGGATTTCTTAATAGTTTTTTTTCTTTTTTTTTAGCATTTGACCTATGTTCTTGTTTATATTTGGATCTGCATGCTGCCCACCAGCATGTACCTTCTGGTGCAATTATACTTAACAATCCAAGAGTAACTCATTCGAAGGATCATCTATAGTCTATACTCTAGGCAAGCAAACATACTTAATTGATACTTATCCATGGAAACCACAAATCAAACTTGGTAATAATGACGAAGTCCTTTTTAGTTAACTCTCCTAAAGCATATGAGGTTAAAAACTATTAAATAAAATTTTGGATGTAATATGGTATTAATTTTCTTGATGGCAAGCCAATGTGGTTTTAAAGTTTCCATCCAAGTCAATGACCTAGATTTGTGTTGTTTTAGTTGTTTTATTCGTTTAAATATTGATCAAGACATAGCCAACCAAGTAACAAAGAGGTTTTCATTGGTTTAAGAGGGTTTAATTTGAATTAGGTATCCTGTAAAATCATAGTCAACTTTGCCCACTAGTGGAACAGACTACGGTTGATGTTAAGGGAAAAAGAAAAGTGTAGGTTTTTTTTTTTTTTTTTGATATAGAAAAGTATAATTTTTGTGATTGAGATTTTCTTTATTACAACAATAGGGTTTTTTAGTGAGGATTACAACTCTCACCAAAAGTCCATATAATCTTCAATCATTATTTAGTGAGAGTCAATATGACTCATGTGATAAGAGATAAAATACGACCTTGATTATATCTATTATTTAACTAGGATTAAAAAATTATGACTAAATGTAAATAATTAATGAAAGTTAATGTGTAGTATCGTCAAATGTGAAATTTATAATTAAGGTCAATTTTGAATCTCACTATATCTTTTACATTTAAGTAAAAGCTTTTATTGATTTTCACTTAAAATTTTTATTTTTAGTAAAGGGTTGTTTTGATCCTCACTTAAAATTGTTTTTATGAGAATTGTGATATTTACTATGACACTTTATATTATTTAGTAAAAAGATTTAAAACCCTCATGAAAAATACTTATTTATGTATTTTTATTTACTTTGTTAATATTTGTAATTCTTACTCTAAACAAAACATAAATAAATAATATTTGTCCAAAAAATTATAGCATAAAACCAAATAAGCATCCACATATACTAATTTCAAACAATATACAAAACATCTCTCAGACATATCAATTCTTTTTAAGTACTCTATAGTTTTTTATCCAAAAAACTAAGAAAGGTTAGTAAGACAATCAAACAATACATAGTCAAAATTATATGATGCTAATCTAATATTTTTCTTTGTGAGAAATGCCTTTTTTGTAGCCATAATTGCATTGAGTTTAAAATCACTACAAAATAAAAAAACATATATAACAAAATGAGAGTGAATATATACTAAAAATATTTATGAGTTTATAGAAAACAGATAAAACAAATATATGATGATCAAAGCGGCATAGAGAAATAAAATTATATAGATAAAGCTTAAAATAGCCATATGAATTTTTTTTCAACTTCTTCAATAGACCATGTAAAACATGCAAAGATTTCTAAAAAATGGACACAATCAAGAGAAGACCATCAAGAAAACAGTGTATCTAAAAATTATATAAATACATTAGGCCTTATTACCTGTATGAGTAGACTGAGTAGGCATCCCCAATGGTTATTCTTTTTGCATATAAAATCCATATAAATGTAAATATAATAAGTAGCTGATGAAATATTGATTATACACAAATTAGAAACCTTAAATATTGCTAACAAAAAGATAATATGATAAAAGTCAGATATGGCATGACTACAGGATAGAGATTAAAACCTAATCATAGTTCCAACTTCATATTTAAATGCAAACATTAAGCTACACCTTACAAAGATGAAGGAAATCTAGGGATTAGTGAGACAGGGCTGCTATAAAAACTAACTACAATTACAAATGACAAAAATACCAACAAGAATCCCTTCCTCATATCATTTCCTTCTATCACCACTTCTTAACTCCCAGTGAACTAATTTAAAAGTGTTTACAATACATTTCTCTTATGGATTGAGACAACAAAACAACAGTGACACAAATAAATTGAATCACAATAGTGACATAAACAAGTTAACTTGCAAAAAAAATCATACATTTGTCAAAAGAAATAATAAAAAAGTGTAGTGAACCGATATATAGAGGAATTTCATCATTGTTAAATAAATGGACTCAAATGAGTGAGATTCACATAAGAAGCTATGGCTTTGATACAACAGAGGAGCAAAACATTTCTCTAGCATAAACATTCATCAATGAGTCAATCCTATTTCAAAAAGGTAATTTTTTGTTAATAGCAATGATTTTTCACCTATTTTCATCCTAAAGAATCATAGATTATGATCAAATAAGGAGGTAAAAAATAAGGAAGAAGTTAAAAAAAAATTATAGTCATAAAAAAATAAAGTTCGACGTAAAAAACAACATACAATCAAGAAACTTGATATGGATGCTATCAATTATGTAATGATGCCAACAACTATCTTTCCAGCATTTGGCTTTGTTTGAAAACTTAAAAAAAAAAAATGCACTTCAATGTTATAGTTCCAAGCTTAGAAATAATGGGATATAAATTCATAACTAACCAATGAAAATACTCTACAAAATCCAATATTGGCTACCTCAAAATTTTCAAATAAAAATCAAGAATCCTTCACAACAAAATTTGTTAATTGGGTAATAAAAAAATGTAGGAAAAATAGCATGAACAATCACCTCTACCACATTGCCCTGCTTAAGGTATAACATATGACCATTTGGTGATTAGTTGTCATTTGTTTGCTTACTTGCCTACACAAAATAAAGTGAATTGTTCCCATTAAACTAGTATTTCTTTTCTACTAAATAAAAAGCCTTCTAAATAGATTGAACTACTTTTATTAAATTGCATAATAAAAATTTATTCTAAAGAGTCTTTTTTCAATGTTATTTTTGCAAGTTTTTTTTATTAAACATACATAAGTACAAAATTTTCCTTTTCGAAATATATATTTATGGTTGAAAATGTCAACAAAGATCTAACCAAAATAAAGTATGATGAGAATAAAAAAATTTATACAGTCAGCTTTCCCCTTTATACATTTTTTCTAGTTATATTTATTTATTTATTTATAAATTATAGAATGAAAAAAATAAATTGTTATGATCTACACTATACGAGCATCTTTAAAGACATGACACCAATATGTAAAGGTGGTAGCTAAGTTGAACTCTTTTGTCTTTTAAAATTACAATGGCCTATTAAACTATTATACATCATAATCAACATAATTATTAAATATTTTTATCTGCACCTTTTCAAAACTAAATGCAATATTAAGATGTGTGAGCATTTCTACCAATAAGCAATAATTTCTTTTTATGCGATAAGTACTTAAATTCCTAAAATCAAGTAATAAGACAATTACCATATAGTTAATAGGAAATATAATTTTCCTAATTTTATTTTATTTTTTAAAAAACTACAGTTTAGATCTTAGCTCCATCATCAACATAACATCAAAATGCACATATCAATGGATTCAAAGTAAAATAAAAGAAAAGATAAACATTTTAGAAACTATTTTGAACCCTAGATCTTAGAGCTACCATCGACAAAGAAAAGTATATCAAGTTAGATTTAACTCTTATAAATATTCTAGAAACTTCTAGAACTTTAGGTCTTAGCTCCATCATCTACCAAACATCAAAATGAACAAATCGATGGATTTGAAGTAAAATAAAAGCAAAGATAAAATATTTACTTGAATAAGAAACAAATAAAAATTAAAAATTAGAACTGAGGGGATTTTTAAAGAAAAACTCTCTTCTTTAAAAATTAAACATTTCTCTTTTTCACAAAAAAATGGCATTGTAATATAACTAATAAGTTCCCTATTTTGTTGAACAAACCTTCTTTTTCTGATTTTGTTTTTGTAGCTTTGAAGCTTAGTTTTGGATATAAAAGAAATGGGAATTGAGAGGTCGAATTAGAATATGGTATAGGCTTAGAATTAAAACTAAAGTGTGATTTTTATAATAATAGATTTTGGGCTTAGAAAAGAAATTGAAAATGGCAAAACAAAAATTTTGGGTTTTTAATTTTATATTAATAGATGTTGGCCTAACATTTTAATCCAAAATCTCCCAAAATTCAAATTTAATTTAATTTTTCTTTCATTTCTAACCTCAAAATTATTTTATTTGGATTTTTAATCTTGGTTCCATTTTTATCTTTTTGTTACATTATTCTGTTAATAATTGTTCAAATATTCATTATAATATTATATAAGTGACATATTTTTGTAAAGGTCAATTTTGGATCCTCAAGTAAAATACTAAATTAGTGAAGGTTATATGTGACTCGCAAAAAAAAAAAAAATTTAGTGAAGGTTAAAACACACTACTCACTAAAAATTTATTCCAATGAAGGTTATTGTTGGCCTTCACTACACAAGAGCTTTTAGTAAGGGTCAATGTGCAACTCTCACTAAAACAAGCTTTTCTTGTAGTGTTTTCTCCCTCTTTTGATCATTTATATTAGAGATATCTTAATCATTTATAAATTAGATATGAGGAAGTTACATGAATAAAATGTGGTATTAAATTTTTTTAATCGGCTAGTTTCTTTTTTCTCTAAAAAAATTAAATAAAAAATAATATTTTTCACTATCTATACCTATATATAAAAGGAGCCTCCAAGACTCCTATTTCAGGTGCACGTAATGAATGTCATAAGAAAACAAATAGAGGATGGATTTGGGCATT